AACCCCAATGCTCCTAGGATTGGCCTTTTCACCTTATCTTGTCCTAAGTCCCTCATCCTTATTGACTCAGCCTCTATCCCCAGCCCAGTCCTTAGCTGGGCTGAGAGGGAAGGCAAACTGAGGCCCAGATCGGGCCAGGACTTTGCTCAGTCACAGAGCAGAGTGGTGACTGCTGTGCAGATCTCTGGACCAGGACTGTGGCCCAAGGTGCACTCAGCCTGGGGGATCAGGCAGGGCCGGCTGGGGGCGCGGACCATGTGGAGCGCCAGTTTTGCCCTGCCTGGCGGCTCTGCAGGCTGTGATCAGGAGATGAGCGGGTGGGAAGGTCCTGCCTGCCACACCCTCTCCCAGCTTGGGCCCTGCAGCCGGGCATGATCCCGGGGGCCCTGCCCGGTCCCGGGTCACGAGCCTGCCTTCAGGGCTCATTTGCCGCTCTGTCCCCGCAGTGTGGCCTGTTCGCCATGATGGCTTTGCAAGAACGTGTGGTCACCAGTGCCTGATCTGACCTGTGAGGGAACAGACCCAGGCTGGTGGTGCCGAGCTGGGGAGGGAGGGACATGCCTTCCTCTGGACACCTCTGTGCGTGCTGCAGGGCGCCTCCTCTTCTGCTCTCATCTTCTGCCCGATGGCCACACTTCCTGTGCTCTGGCCGCTCCCCACTGGCCCTGCTTGCCTCCCCTGCCTCCTGCTTGTGCATTGACCCAAGCATCTGCCAGGACCAGGGTGGGCAGGCAGACGTGCAGATCCAGCCGTGGTAGTATGAGGCAGGGGCTGGCCGTATGGCAGACCGAGGCTGAACAGTCAGAGGAGGCTACCGGCAAGGATGCACCTGGGAGGGACAGCGTGGGGAACGGGGTCAAGCACCAGTGTGATAGGCACAGAGACCTGAGGGCCACAGGGCCCTGGAGACAGGCAGGGGAGAGGGCAGAGGTCAGCAAGGCTTGGGCCCTTGGTCCTGGGTTTCCTGGGTGCCCACTTGGGTTAGGCCTGGGCTGGGCAAAGCGGCTGCTGGCTGGACCTGCGCCAAACTCGGGATGTCTGCTGGAGATGATGTTGATGTGAATCTCCCTCAGTGAAGCAAGGAGGAATCTGCCCATGTTCCACCCCCTGTGTGGCTGAGACGGCCAGGGAGGTGAGTGTGCTTGTGACTTAGCTGCTACAGGGTGACTGCCTGGATGGCCAGGCAGGCTGTGGCCCAGGGGCCCAATGGGGCCTCTCCTCACAGGCCTGCCTGCTCCTCACACCTAAGGGCCCCTACTTCCGTTTCTGAAGCCACCAGGGCCGAGGCCTAGGTTCCTCCAGGTCCTGCTGAGGTTGGCCAGAGTGAGCCAGGCTGGGCTTCCTGCCAGCACAGTTGGGCTGAGGAGGTGGGCACCCCTCTGTGCCTGTGACAGTGGGAGTGTCTAATGCTGCTGCCCCAAGAACACGGTGGGCCTGGGCGTGCTGTGGGTCATTTGCACTGAGGAGGGGTCTTCCCTGCAGCGCAGGCCCAGCCCCACAAGGGGCCCAGCTTCCTGCCTGTAGCGGTTCCTCAGCCGGGAGGCCAGCTCGAGCCGTGTTCTGGTGGGGAGAACACAGTTCAGCCTGGGAGGTGGGGCAGGGAGAGGGTGCGGGTGGTTCTCAGGGCTTCCTGAGCGGGCCTCTTGCATCCTGCTGCCTGACCTTGCTCCTGCGAGGCCAAGCAGGGCAGTGGAGGATGGCAGCAGCCCTGTACTCTGATGAGGTCTACCCAGCCCCTCACCCTCTGTCCTGGGCTTCTGGAGAGAGGACAGGAAAAACTGACTTTTTTTTGGTACCGGAAGTCAAACTCAGGACCTTGTGCTTGCCAGCCAGGCTCCGTGCCACTGGGCTATCTCCCCGGCCCAGAGCTGGCATTTTGAGATGTGATGAGTTTTCTGGGTTTTGGTACCATGAGGGTGACAGGCAGGAGGAGGGCTGGACCCTGGTGCCTGTGTTGTTCAGTCTCAGTTGTCTCTTTCCTAGCTGTGTCCTCACGAGCAATGCCTGAACCTCTCTGTGCCTCGCCCGGTGAAGCGGCAGCAGCAGTCCCACTTCCTCAGGGAGGCTCGCAGACCGAGAGGAAGCATGGCCACACGCATGTGGCCAGAGCCTGAGCCCCCAAGGTTGCCTGGTGACATTCCTTGACACCCTACAGGCCGCTGGGCTCCCTTGCTCTTCCTCAAGGGACGAGTCTGGCCCCCCAGATGCCTGCAGCCCCGGGTCTTCCACGGTCTGGCTGGGCCTGGACTGCAGTGATACAGTGAGTGGGTGGCAAGAAAGTGTCCCCTCCTGGAGTGTCCCCTCTCAGCCTTCCTGAAAGTGTCCCCTCCTGAAAGTGTACTCTGCCGGAGTAGCTCTCAGCCAGGATGGGCCGTGTCTGCAGGCTGTTCTCACTCTGCTAAGCAGGAGCCTCCCCTTGACTCTGGACCCAGGGGAGGGGGCATCTGACTGCTTCCTGGACATAACAAACTGGTCTGCAAGCTCAGCATGGACCAGACTCTTCATTGCAAGTGACAGAAACTTAAGCTGGGTTGAGCTGAAATGGGCATCATTGTCCCTTAGCTAGGTGTGTTGGCATATATCTGTCATCTCAGCCCTCTGGAGGCTGAGGCAGGAGGATCACAAGTACAGACCAGCCTGGCTAATTTAGTGAGACCCTGTCTCAAAAAATTAAAAAAGACTGAGGATGTAGCTGAGTGATAGAATACCCTGGGTTCAGTCCCAGTACTACACAAGAAAAAAAAAGAGAAAAAGACAGCTGGAAACTAGGGATGTAGCTGAGCGCAGAGGCCTTGGCTTTAGTCCCCACGCCCTGTACCTGCATGCTGTCAGCCTGTCTTTCTCCACTTCTCTACATGGGCTTCGTTTTTAGGTGGGCGCCCTCCTCAGGGTGGCTCAGAATCTGCCAGCAGCTTTTCCCTGGGTGGTAAATGTCCCAGAGAGGGTTCTCACCGGGGTTTTGTGGGGCTGGGGCTGGGTAGGGGTGTGCTGAGCAGCCAGTCCTGGGGCAGTGACTTCCGAATCAAGGACCAAGAGCTGCCCAGGGGAAGTGGGAACACCCTCCCCCACCCAGACCATGGTGGGGTCCCCTCCTCTGTAGCATGGGGGTGCTGCCCTGCTCTGCTGATAGGGTGGCGGTCAGTGAGGTGTGAGTGACAGGGAGGGACTTCTGGGACTTCACAGTCTCTCCAGGTCAAGGGCCCCTGATTTGCCCAAGTGGCTTTGGAGTTCAGACAGGACCATTGAGGGGTTGGGGAGGCAAGGCTTGACTGGACCAAAGGGAGGACTTCTAGCCAGGAGATGTGCCCAGGGAGCGGGCAGCCTGCCCAGGGAGGTGATGAGCTCCCCGCCGCTGAGGTGTGCAAGCTGAGGCTCAGGTCATGTGTACAGATACGGTAAAGGCTCCTGCATCCGGGGCCTCAGGGGGGCCCTCTCAGTGGCCAGCTGCCTCAGTGACTGGCAGAGAAGCAGTGATTGGACAGAGAGGCCTTGAAACCTTCCTGGCAGCGGGTGCCTCCTGCTCTAGCTTAGGGGTGGCTGGAGAGGAGTCACCCACGGAAGTGCCGTGGCCCTGGGCTCCTGAATCTTCCTCCAGGACCCCAGCCCTGCCCCACTGTGCCAGGCTCATCCTGGGAGCTGGACGTGGTCCCTGGATGGCTGGATCCCTGGGCCCAGGGCCACCCATTGTCCCCCTGCCTTCCCACCAGTTGCCCGTGATGTGGCCTCGTTAGATCTCCAGGGCAGTGCTTACCATGGCCTGGGTCTCCACAGTCCTGCTGTGTGCGCCAGGAGGGCGGGCTGGCACCCCGGGTGAGTGTGTGGGGTTGGTGTGTGTGCACACTCACGCTGCATGTCTGTGTCCTGGCGGCCTGAGGCTGCATTCTGGGGCTTTGCCCGGACAATGGACCCGCTGTGGAGAGTTGTCCCCCACTTTGGGGTTTAGAGTCCCAGCCTGGCGGTCCAGTGTACTGGCCCCAAGCTGGAGGGGCTGGCAGTTGTGCTCTGCAGCGTCTGGCTGGGTCCCCTGGGATGTCAGTGGGGAAGCCTGGCCAGGGAACTGTAGTTTGTGAGCAGGCAGGCCCAGGTTCGAATCTCAGTCCTTCCACTAACCTGCTGTGGCTGTGTGACCCCGGCTAAGCCCCTCTGCCTCTCTGGGCTCAGTTGAGGTGGCTCCTGCAGGTTAAGAAGTTGAGTGTGATTGTGTGTGTGACGCCTGTTGTCACAGGCTGTGATGACTGCAGACTGCTATCTTAGTGGCTCCCCGGTGCGGTGTGCTGAGGGCTGGGCTGGCCCACACGGGGGTGCTGTCAGTGCTCCTGTGGAATACTCCCTCATGTAGGGTGAGAGGTAGTGTACTAGTGGGCTGCGCCACTTAGACATTTTAAATTGGCTGCCAGCATTTAAAAATCACTATTTCACATGGAAATGAGATTTGTAGCTTATCTAAACTGGGCACTTGGGAAGCCTTGGGCCTGATCCCAAAAAGTTGCCCTGGTTAAACAGGTGCCAAAACTGTGGACTCCTGCCCAGGCATGGAAGTGACTCAGACTTCCAGAGTGCCGCTGTGTTGCACGGGTGTTTGCAGTGATAGAAGTGATGACGTCTGTGTCATCCACAGCAGTAGCCAGCGGCCACTTGAATAGTGTGTGACTGAGGGATTGGATTTTCTGTTTTACTTTATTTTTACTTTTTTCTTTGTGTGTTTGTTTGTTTTTTGAGACATGGTCTCCTTATGTAGCCCAGGCTGGCCTCAAACTCCTGGTGATCGTCCTGCCTCAGCCTCCCAGGTGCTGGGATTACAGGCGTGTACCACCACACCCGGCTCTGTTTTACTTTTAGTTAATTTGAATTCACTTGTAAACACCACATGGGGCTGGAGGCTACAGTGTTGGATAGAGCAGTTCTGGGAAGACTTTCAGCTCAGCCCCACTCTCTCCCAGTCCAGCCCTTTGCTGGCGTGACCCATGAGGTCAAATCCTTGTTCTATTTTGTCTCTGCAGAGCTGAGGACCCCACGTGTCTGGTCGGCCTGTCCTGGATTCCTGCAACACAGTGTGCCCACCTAGCGTCGTCCATGGAGCTGCGGGCCCTGCCTACCCAGCCTCACCAGCCAGCCCCGGAGAGGCCAGAGGCCTAGGCCCAGGGAGGAGGGTACCGGCCAGCAGATGACCCCCTGGCTTCCGGGGAAAAGCACTGGGGCTGAAGGATGCCAGCCAAGGGGCGCTACTTCCTCAATGAGGGTGAGGAGGGCCCAGACCAGGCCGCGCTCTATGAGAAGTACTGCCTCACCAGCCAGCACGGGCCGCTGCTGCTCCTGCTGCTTGTGGTGGCCATCCCCGCCTGTGTGGCGCTCATTGCCATCGCCTTCAGCCACGGGGTGAGTCTGTGGGCGGCAGCACGGGCGGCCTGTGCTCGTGAGACCCTGGGCCAGTTGTTACCTTCTCAAAGTTCTGTTTCCTTCTCGGTGAATGTGACCCATGGTGTGTGAACTGGTGGAGGACAGGCTAAAGTCTAGGTGGTTTTAGATACTACACTTACTGGGTCAAATCAATTACCCTCATTTTGTCCACCATCACATTTGATCCTTCTGAAGACCTGCGTCAGGGTGGGTCCATGATAGATGCTGTTAATCAAAGCCGGAGCTCCTTGCCCAGTCTGGCTATGGGATCAGTTCTTCTCTTTACACTAAGCTACCTCCCCAGCCCTTCTTTTCACAATATTTTATTCTGACATAGAGTCTTGCTAAGTTGCCCAGCTTGAACTTGCACTTACAATCCTCCTGCCTCAGCCTCCCAGAATATTGTGATTATAGATATGAGCCACCATGCCTGATTCCTTTTTATTTTATTTTATTTTATTTTATTTTATTTTATTTTATTTTATTTTATTTTATTTAAAGAGACAACATGTCTTGCTATGTTGCCCAGGCTGGCCACAAACTCCTGTGCTCAGATAATCCTCCTGCCTCAGCCTCTTGACTATTTGGGACCACAGGCACATGCTGCCCCACCTCAGAATCCCTCTGATTACAGCTCCCCCAGCAGACACCGCCGCCATCGTCTCTGACTTGGGCACTTACTTGGCTTGCCACGGGTGCTACCTGTGTGCAGAAACGGGTCCCTTGAACTGTGGCTGGGGCGAGGGCCTGCAGTTCTCATTTCCTGTTTAATAAATGTAATGTAGGGAGTTGGACAAGCGGACAGCAGAGACTGGGGCTTTGACCTGCGTGGGGTGCCTGGACCTGAGCGGCAGCAGCCACCAGGCTCTTGTTTCCTGTCACTCCCCAGGTGGCTACTGAGTGCCCAGTGTGCCCGCCCGGGCTCAGGCCTCCGCCCTCACAGGCTGGGGTCTGCAGCATACCAGGTCCTTGTGGGTGCAGTGCCAGCTGCACTGCTGTCTTTCTGGGCTCCTCTTGTCACCCTCTGACCTTCTTTACCCCAGCCCCTGCCCACTGCTGCCTGCCTGCATCCACTGGAACCTGCTGTTTATTCTGTTTTGTTTTTTTTCTTTCTTTCTTTCTTTTTTTTTTCTTTTTAGTGCTGGGAATTGAACCCAGGGCCTTTGCACTGAGCCACATCCCCAGCTCTTTTTATATTTTTTATTTTGAGACTCGCTAAGTCACTAAGTTGTCCAGCATGGGATGGAACTTGCCATCTTCCTGCCTCAGTCTCCCAGAGTGCTGGGAATGACGGATAATTGCCACCACAGCCACTTCCTCTGTTTATTCAGCTAGGAGCAGTGGCACACACCTGTCATCCAGTTACTCAAGAAGCTGAAGCAGGAGGATCATAAGTCAAGATTTCTATGTCTGTTTGCTCCGCCAGGACCCCTCGGAGCAGCAGGCTGTCCTGGGCACGGCGTTCGTGACGCTGGCGGTGTTCGTGGTCCTCTATGTGCTGGTGTACATGGAGTGCCTGGTCCGGCGGTGGCTCCGGGCCTCGGCCCTGCTCACCTGGGCCTGCCTGCTGACGCTGGGCTACGTGCTGGCCTGGAACGCCTGGACGAGGGCAGCCTGTGCGTGGGCGCAGGTAACTGGGTGGGTGGGAGTCTCCCCACACTCAGCTGCTGTCTGCATTGGGTGCTGCGGCCTGCGACAAGGATGGCCCCAGACCAGTGCTGTCCCCAGTTCTCTGTGGTGATGGCGCTGGGCTGGGAGGAGCATCTACTTGGGGTCTGGCTGTGGCCTTTGGAGGGACCCTCACTTGGTCCCAGAGGATGGCGTTCCAGGCTCAGAGGTGCTAAAAAGCACCAACTGGCTCCAGTGCCAGGAAAGGCCCCGCAGGGAAGCCAGACTCCCCTTCCCTGCTGTGTCATCCTGGGGTTCGCTGCTCCCAGGTGGGGGCAGAGGTAGCTACAGCAGCTTGCAGGCTGCTCCCCACCGGGTTACCTGCCCCCATCTGAAAGAGAGGGCCCTTTCTCACCCAGCGTGGGTCCCAGGCTTGGCTGTGCCTCGCGGCCGTATGGTGTTATGCTGTGGCCCCGGTCTGTGAGCCGCTCCTGTGGCCAAGGGGGCGAGGTCCTTGAAACCCTATAGCTGAAGGCAGGGAAGGTGGGTGCAGGGCCTGCTGGGGCCAGGGAGGCAGGAGGGCCCCGGCCAGGGTCCCTTTCTGGCAGGACATCGTCTGGGGTTGCCCAGGTCACAGGGACATGGAATCCTGTCGCAGACAGCGTGTAGAAAGGAGGACCAGTACAGGCCGGCACTTTGTGTTTGTTGTGTCTGCTGCTGTGTCTGCCATAAAGGGGGAGAGAGGTAATGGGCTGCCCGCTGTCCCCAGGGCACCAGAGACTGTGGGGCCCACTGTCCGCTCCATCCTGGGCTGTGTCCAGGCCCAGGCGGTGTGGTCAACCCATCTCCTGACACCCCGTCCGTAGGTGCCCTTCTTCCTGTTTGTGGTCTTCGTTGTGTACACACTGCTGCCCTTCAGCATGCAGGCGGCCGTCACTGTGGGTGTGGTCTCCACCGTCTCCCACCTCCTGGTGTTTGGTGCGCTCATGGGGGGCTTCACGGCGCCCAGCATTGGGGTGGGGCTGCAGGTGAGTGGTGGCTGAGGACCTGGTTGGGGTGGGCAGTCAGGGTGAGTAGAGCCTGAAGGCTTGGGGACTGAGCTTGCAGTCTGGGCTGGGCTTCCTCCGCCTCTGCGGGGAGCTGCCTGAGGTGGGCCCCGCCCTGTGCTGCTCACCTAGGGCACCCTGTTGGGGGGCAGCTCCTGAGGTCTGGCTAGGGTCCTGACTAGATGGGCTGAGGGCATGGCCCCAGGCACTGCATCTTGTGCCCAGGGGGTTGAATAAACTTGCTCCTGCTCTGTAGGGCTGTGGAGATGTCTAAGAGGACTCTGTGCCTCTAATCCGCCTGGGTGCCCATTCCCGGGTAGAGGCCCTGAGCAGCTGCTCTGCCTTCCCCCTCCTGTGACTGCTGTTGGCTCTGTGAGGTGGCTGCTTCTGCTTCCTTGAAAGTGTCTGGCCCCCCAGTCTCCAGTGGCCAATCCCTACTGGACAGCACAGGTGCCCACTGGACTCAGAGAGGGCCCAGGCCTGGTCTTGTGGTCACAGTGACTCATGAGCAGACCAGCCCCTGTCTGGACCTGTTTCTCTGCCTGCCCCAGGAAAAGTACCCATCTGAGTGGATTGGAGAGTCAGGGCATGGGAAGGCAACCCATTCCCACTTGCCAAGGGAGCTAGGTCCAGGGTGGGGTGCACACACCAGGCTGAATGCCCGGCCCTTGCCTGCCCTCAGCTGCTGGCCAATGCCACTATCCTCCTGTGTGGGAACTTCACGGGTGCTTTCCACAAGCACCAGATGCAGGACGCCTCCCGGGACCTCTTCACCTACACTGTCAAGTGCATCCAGATCCGTAGGAAGCTGCGCATTGAGAAGCGCCAGCAGGTGAGGACCCTGCTCCCCTTGGAGCCATGCCTGGCCCCTGCCCAGTCTTCCTGCCCCCCAGGGCCCCACCCTGCCTTACAGCCCCATCCTTCTCCTCTCTGTTAGACTTCAGCTGCTTGTCAAGCTCCTGGTGCATGGGTTCTGCCTTGTCAGTTTCCCATGGCTGGAACAAAATACCTGACACATGCACTTTAAAGGAGATTTATTTGGCTTATGGTTTCAGAGGGATTGGTTCAGGGTCAGCTGACTTCAAAGCAGAAATGGCATGGTGGAAGGGTGTGGTGGAGCAGAATTGCTCACCTCATGGCAGCCAGGAAGCAGAGAGTAGGAAGAGCCAGAGAGAGAGACACCCTCCAACCTCTCAGGGACCTACCTCCTTCACGCAGACCCTGCCTCCTCCAGGCTCCACCTTCTAAAAGCACAGTCAGTGATGAGCTGAGGAATGGATTAATCCTCTGATGAGTACAGCATCCCCAAGATCCAATCACCTTCTGAAAGCCCCACCTTGGGATACATGACACTTGGGGAGATTTAAAATCTAAACCATAACAGCATGCATGGCTGGGCCCCCATGGTTTCACTCCTGGGGGTTCTTATGGACATGAGAAGGTGTGTGCCTGGCCGGGTTAATGCTGGGTGTGAGCTAGCAGATAATGAGCCGGCTTCGTGGGCAGTCTGGGAAGGTAGGCAGGAGAACAGAGGCTAGGTAGGCCAGCCTGGGGCTTGACAACCACCCTGCCCGCCCCTCTGGTCCCCCTCCCGGTCTGCCTGCTTTACCCAGGAGAACCTGCTGCTGTCCGTGCTGCCAGCCCACATCTCCATGGGCATGAAGCTGGCCATCATTGAGCGGCTCAAGGAGGGCGGGGACCGCCGCTACATGCCAGACAACAACTTCCACAGCCTCTACGTCAAGCGGCACCAGAATGTCAGGTGGGTGTGTTCCCTGAGAGCGGGGGCCACCACACCTGCCCCAGCCAGGCAGCCCCCCTGCCCTTTGGAAGGTTCAGTCCCCACCACATGGGGCTGGGCAGTGGGGGGTCCCTCTCTGGGCCTCAGTCTCTCCTCTGCTTCCCCAGGGGTAGGATTTGATCAGGTTCTGAAATAAGAGAATCAGGCTGGTGGTGGGGAAGATCCCTTATTGCCCAAAAGGAGGTGAAGCCCTCAACCCTGACTCTGTCCTGGGCTGATTGGAAGGGTGCAGAGTGTACTGTGAGTGCCCTGAGCTGAGTTAGTCCAGGCGTGAGTGCTGTGAGCATGTCACCCCCAGACCTCTGCATGCAGTGCAAGGTTAATGCCCCAGTACTGTCTCTCTGGGGGGGCTGCGGGCTGCAGGGCAGGGAGATGTGGGAGTTACTGCTCTCCCCCTGGAGCCTCAGTCTGCCCATCTGTAGAACAGGTGTCCTGCAGGCCCTCGGGAGCAGAAGTAGCATCTGCCTGGAGGGTTTAGTTCTGGTCTTACGTAGGGCAAGCATCCAGGTACAGGAAGGGAGCAGGTCCAGAGCTGCCTGGGGGTATCCCTGAACATCTGCTGTGATGGGCCTGTTATTGCCAGGGTTGACTCTGTTCTTATGTCATGAGAAGCCTCTGGAACTTGCTTTGTCCTTATGGCTGGGGCATCTCTCCTGTCAGATGGGGGCCCAGGGTTGGCTGGGCATCACAAGGCCTTGGCCCTGACCCTCACTCTGGCCTGCCCCCAGTATCCTGTATGCAGACATCGTGGGCTTCACTCAGCTGGCCAGCGACTGCTCCCCCAAGGAACTGGTGGTGATGCTGAATGAGCTCTTCGGCAAGTTCGACCAGATCGCCAAGGTGAGCCTGGCCTGTGCCTCTGTGCCACAGTGCTGGGCCGAGACCGGGGCCCTTGGCTAGTTTTAGCTTCCCTGCAGTGGAGGGTCTGAGCGGGTGGGGGTGTGGAGGTTTTATGTGGTGACCAACGGCGCGGGAATCCTGTCCCTGACACCGTGTGAGGCTGGTGGGGAGGCTGCTGCACATGTCTGGAGGTGGCTTGGGGTTCACTCGGCCACCTGTGGGAGGTGGCTCCCTCCTCCCTATGCAAAGTCTCACCTGGGAGCCTTGAGGGCTGCGGGTGCTCCTTGTCACCCAGAACCTGCTTTTCATAAGATGCCAGGTAAATCCTGTGCCTAGGAAAATTTGAGAACCCTAAAAAGAGATAAGAAGAGGTAAGGGAGTAGTGTTCTGGGTGGGGAGACAGCATGTGGAAAGAAAGCTGTGTGTGGCTTGGAGTGACATGGACCCAGATCTCCAGGGGACCAAGGACACAGGATGCAGTGGCTGAGCTGAGGAGCACAGCTTGTTCCTGGCATACTGAGGAGTGTGGCAGGTGCCAGGTGGGATGAGGCATTGCGCAAGGAGGGATTTTCTTTTCTTTTAAATTTTACTTTAAAGAGAAAAAAGTAAAGCAAAATTTCCAAACAAGATAATAGGAGGTTAACAGTGGCTATTACATTTCATATTGTTATCTTTAAATTAGTTACTCAGAGTACAAGATATATGCATTTAATTGTCCAAACAATATTAACATAAACCTTTTTCAGTGAACTAAGAAATTAGTAGTGTAACAATCTTAACTATCTTATATGTGTGTGTGTGTGTATTTTTTTGCTTTTCCCTTCCTTCTTTTCTTCTTTCCTCCACCCCAGTTTCTCTTTCTGTTTGAAGAGAACAGAAACATTCCATTTTATAATATCTATTGTACATTTGGCTCTTATTTACTCTTTCAGCTTCTCACACTAGGGAGACAATATGAAGTTTGCACATGTGAGTCTGGTTTATTTCACTTGTGAGTATGGTCTCAAGTTGCATCTATTTATCTATAAAAGTCTCAAGTTTACCCTTCTTTATGGCTGAGTAGTACGCCATTGTATAAAAGTACCACATCTTTTTATCCATTCCTCGGTTGATGTGAATTTGGGTTGTTTCCAATATCTATTCCAAATTGTGCTACTATAAACATGGGTACAAATATATTGCTGTGGTATGATGTTTTTAATTCTTCTGGGAAGATACTCAGCAGGGGAATAGCTGGGTCAAATGGGACCTCCAATCCTAGTGTTTTGAGGAGGTCCACACTGATTTTCACAGTGGCCACACCAGTCTGTACTCCTACCAACAGTGGAAAAGGGTTCCTCTTTCCCCACAGCCCTGCCAGCATTTGTTATTGGTTGATTTCTTGATAATAGCCATTCTTTCTGGGGTGAGATGGAATCTGAGTGTTGTTTTAATTTGTACCTCTCAAATGACCAGTGATGTTGAACATTTTTTCATGTATTTATTTGCTGTTTCTACTGCTTCCTCTGAGAAGTGTGTATTCATCTCAGATGCCCATTTTTGGATTAGGTCTTTAAATTTGGGAGGTCTGATTTTCTTGAATTCTTTATATCTTCTCAATAGTAATCCTTTGACAAACATCTGGCAAACTTTTTTTCCACATTGTGGGTTGTCTCTTCACTCTGTTGGTGGTTTTTCTTGCTGTGTAAAAGCTTTTTAATAAGATGAGATCCTAGTTGTTGATTCTTTGTGATAGTTCATGTAAAATTGGGGTTTTATTCATGAAGTTTTTGCCTACAGCAGTGTCTTAAAGAGTTTTACCTATTCTATCTTCCAGTAGATTTAATGTTTCTGTTTTAATATTTAGATCTCTGATCCATTTCAAATTTAGTGGGGGCTGGGGATTTAGCTCAGCGGCAAAAGCGCCTGCCTGGCAAGCGCAAGGTCATGAGTTCGGTTCCAGTTCGGTTCCCGGTACCGGAGAAAAACCAAAAAAAAAAAAAAAAAAATTTCAAATTTAGTGTATGGTGAAAAGTATGGGTATAGTTTTAATCTTCAGCATGTTCAGAGCCAGTTTTTCCTGCCCCATTTATTAAAGAGATTATCTTTCTTCCAGTGAACATGTTTGGCACCTTTGTCAAAGATCCAGTGGCTAGGTATGTCTGGAATTGATTTTGCATCTTCTAATCTGTTCCATTGATCTTTAGGTCTGTTTTTTTTTTTTTTTTGCCAGTACCATGCTGTTTTTATCATAGTAGCTTTATAGTATAATTTCAAATCAGGGATTATGATGCCCCCTGCCTTGCTTTTTTTGTCCAGAATTGCCTTTGCTATTCTAGGTATCTTCTGATTCCAAATGAATTTTAGGATTGTTTTCCCTACTTCTGTGAGATATGCTGTTGGAATTTTGATTGGAATTGCATTAAATCTGTATAACACTTTTGGAAGTACGGCTATTTTCACTATATTGGTTCTTTCTACCTAAGAGCAAGGGGTATCTTCATTTTCTGATATCCTCTTCAGTCTCCTTTTTCAGAGCACTATAGTTTTCAACACAGAGGTCTTTTACTTCTTTAATTAGATTGATTCCTAGGTATTTCATTTTTTTGGATGCTATTGTGAAAGGTGTTATTTCTCTAATTTCTCTCTCAATGAGTTTGTTATTCATGTACAGGAAGGCTATTGATTTTTGAGTGTTGACTTTGTATCCAGCTATGCTTCTGAATTTGTTTATTAAATCTAGCAGTTTTTAGTGGAGTTTTTGGGGGTATTCTATGTAGAGTATCATGTCATCCACAAATAATGATAGTTCAACCTTTTCCTTTCCTTTTCTTTCTTTCTCTTGTCTAATTGCTCTGGATAAAGTTTCCAGGACTATGTTGAATAAGTGGAGACAGTGGACATCCTTGTCTTGTTTGTGATTTTAGAGTGAAAACTTTCAGTTTTTGTCCATTTATTATGATGTTGGCTGTTGCTTTTTCATAGATAGCTTTTATTAGATTGAGATAAAGACCATCTATTCAAATTTTCTGTAGAGTTTTTATCCTGAATGGCTGCTGGACTTTGTCAAAAGTTTTTTTCTGCATTTTTATTTAAAATTTTTTTTTGGTACTGGGAATCAAACTCAGGACCTTGTATGTGCCAAGCAGGCACTTATGCCACTGAGCTATATCCCCAGCTTTTTCTGCATCTATTGAGATGATCATGTGGTTTTTGTCCCTGGCTCTGTTAATATGATATATTACATTTATTGATTTGTGTATATTGAACCATCCCTGCATCCCTGGGATGAATCCATCTTGGTCATGGTGTATAATCTTCTTGATGATTTGCTGCATTCTGCTTGCCAGTATCTTATTGAGAATTTTTGCACTTATATCATTAGAGAGATTGGCCTGTAGTTTTTTCTTAGTTGGATCCTTCTCCAGTTTTGGTATCAGGGTAGTACTTGCTTCCAGAAATGAATTTGGAAGTACTGTTTCCCTTTCAATTCTATTAAAGAGTTTGAAAAGTAGTGGTATTATACCTTCTCTAAATGTCTTGTAGAATTCAGCAGTGGATCCGTCAGTGCCTTGGCTTTTCTTTGTTGGTAGGTTTTCAATTACATCTTTAATTTTACTGATTGATATTGGTTTATTTAGGATTTTATATCTTCTTTTTTTGTGTGGTACTGGGAATTGAACTCATGACCTTGGACTTGCCAGGAAGACGCTGTGCCACTGAGCTAAATCCCCAGCCCCTTAGGATTTTATATCTTCTTGATTCAGCTTTGGTAATTCATATATACTTAGGAATCTGTCCATTTCTTCTGCATTTTTCATCTTATTAGAATACAAGTTTTCAAAGTAGGTGTAGATGATCTTCTGGATTTCAGCAGGGTCCATTGTGACTTCATCCTTTTTATTCCTAATTGCATGGATTTAAGTCTTTTCTTTCCTCTTTTTAATAAGGTTGGCTAAGGGTTTGTTGATTTTATTTAATCATTCAAAGAACCAACTCTTTGATTCTTTGATACCTTATATTGTTTTCTTAGTCTCCAATGTGTTAATTTCTGTTCTGATCTTTATAATTTCCTCCCTCATATGAACTTTGGGCTTAGCCTGCTCTTCTTTTTCTAGAAGTTTGAGGTTCACCATTAAGTGGTTTATTTGCATGTGCTGTGTTTTCCTGATATGTGTATTCACTGCTATACATTTTCCTCTTAGTACCGCTTTTGTTTGTCTCCTACATTCTGGTATCATTATCATTTAATTGTAGAAACTGTCCAATTTATTCTTTAATTTCATCTGTGACCCATGGGTTGTTCAGGGGGGTGCTATTTAATTTCCACATGTTCATGAAGTTCTTGTGGTTTCTTTGGCCATTGATTTCCACTTTCATTGCACTATGGTCTGACAATATGGGATAATTTCAATTTCTTTGCATTTACTTAAGCATGTTCTATGAACTAGTATGTGGTCTATTTTAGAAAATCTCCCATGTGCAGTTGAGAAGAATGTGTATTCGAAAAAAAATGTGTATTCTGAACAAAAAAGTGTGGGGTGGAACACTCTGTAGACATTTACTAAGTCCATTTGTTCAGAAGTTTGGTTCAGTTCTAATATTTCGTTGTTGATTCTTTTGTCTGGTTGATCTGTCTTATTGTGACAATGGGGTATTGAGATGCCCCAGTACAATTTATTAGTGCTTATTTGACTTTTCATGTCCATTAATACTTGTTTTATATAGTTGTGTACACTGGTATTTGTTGCATATATATTTATGATTGTTATCTCTTTCTCTTGGGTTGTTCCATTTACATGGATGCAGTGACTTTCTTTGTCTCTTTTAATCAGTCTTGGCTTGAAATTCACTTTGTCTGCAAATATAATAGCTACCCTTGCTTTTTTTTTTGGTTCCTGTCTCATGGAGTATTGTTTTCCATCCTTTGACTTTCAGCATATGAATTTCTATTTCTCTCTCCTTTTTTTTTTTGGTACCATGATTCAAACTCAGGACCTTGTGCTTGTCAGGCAGGTGTT